AAGGGAAACTTTTAGCAAAATGAAAAATGAAATCAGCCAACTCACACAAGCACATTTTAAGGAGAAACAGACGTTGGAGATGCCTGGACTCACACCTGGCAGACATCTGGTTTGACTAACACGGATTAAACATCAGAGGACGGATCTGTCAAGATTTGTGAATTTAAACCTAAATCTCCACTAATCTAAGTAGGGGACTGGCGGTTGCGTGTGTCCCAAGGAGCTGGGCTGCTCGGCCATGCGCCAGGATCCAGTTCTTATTAATCTGCAGGGCGTGCTTCAAAGGCACGGGCACCTTGTGGTTTAGTTGGCATCATAAAGAGTAACTTTTCCAGCCTGGCCAACATGGCGAAACCCCGTCTCTACCAAAAATACAAAAATTGGCCAGGTGTGGTGGCTCACATCTGTAATCCCAGCACTTCGAGAGGCTGAGGTGGGCGGATCACCTGAGGTCAGGAGTTCGAGACCAGCCTGACCAACATGGAGAAACCCTGTCTCTACTTAAAGAAAACACAAAATTAGCTGGGCATGGTGGTGGATGCCTGTAATCCCAGCCACTCAGGAGGCTGAGGCAGGAGAATCGCTTGAACCCAGGAGGTGGAGGCTGCGGTGAGCCAAGATGACGTCATTGCACTCCAGCCTGGGCAACAAGAGCGAAACTCTGTCTCAAAACAAACAAACAAACAAACAAACAAACAAAATTAGCTGGGTGTGGTGTCAGGCACCTGTAATCCTGGCTACTCAGGAGGCTGAGGCAAGAGAATTGCCTGAACCCGGAAGGCGCAGGTTGCAGTGAGCTGAGATCTCACCACTGGACTCCAGCCCAGGTGACAGATCCGGACTCCATCTCAAAGAAAAAGAAAGAAAGGGCCGGGTACGTTGGCTCACACCTGTAATTCCAGCACTTTAGGAGGCCAAAGTGGGCGGATCACACAGTGAAACCCCATCTCTACTAAAATATAAAAAATTATCACACTGCCATGTGTGTACCAATGCAACCATCTTGCATGTCCTTCACATGTACCCCAAAACCTAAAATGCAATTAAAAAAAAATTAGCTGGGCACCGTGGTGCCACCTGTAGTCCCAGCTACTCGGGAGGCTGAGGCAGAAGAATTGCTTGAACCCGGGAGGCGGAGGTTGCAGTGAGCCGAGATCACGTCACTGCCAGCCTGGCGACAGAACAAGACTCCATCTCAAAAAAAAAGAAAAAAAAAAAAAAAAAAAGGTAACTTCTACGTCCAGGCCCACACAGGCCCCATGGAAAGCCTACCGCAGGCTATTACACACAGATCCGTTTCTAGGTCCCAGGGAGTGTGGCTGGGGACGGTGGGTGTAGTAGCGGGTGTTTAGCAGGGTCAGCAGCTGAGGAAATGCCCCAAACTTCGTCCATCCATACCAGAGTCGAGCCCCTCATAATTGAAAATGCTGTAATTTGGAAATTACACAGGAAGGTGCTAGAGGTGGAAGACAGTCTCGCCGTTCTCTTTGTTCTCTGCCAGGCCTTCCCTGGCCTATGGGACCTCTGGGAACAGTTCTGTGCTATTTCTGCCAGGGGATGCCAATTACCAGGTCATTTATACGAATGCCAGCTCGGGCTCTCGGTCCCATCTCCTCGCGCACATCCGCAGCAAGCAGCACCACGTCCGGGCACTTCCATCCCCAGGACGTCTCTTCCCTTGGGGAGAATTCACAGAAATGCTGCAATCCATAGGTTAGCTCCATATAATGGAAAATGCTATAATTTGGAAATTCCTTTTTTCCTCTTCTCCCACCCTCATAGTTAACGGAACTGCGTGTACAGGTCTGGGGACGGCAGTATACAGGGAGGGGAGGGGTGAGGGGCTAACCTTTGCTCCTTCTGTCCCCTGTCCTACATCACATAGGCGCTTACCACGCTGGGTACTTAAGGATCCAGGATGAAAGAGGCCAGAATTGATGATCTCCCAGTAGGGGAGCAAGATAAAAGGGTGCCGGTCAGGAAAAGTGGCTCATGCCTGTCATCCCAGCACTTTGGGAGGCCACGACGGGTGGATGACTAGAGGTCAGGAGTTCCAGACCAACTTGGACAACATGGTAAAACCCCATCTCGACTAAAAATACAAAAATTAACCGGGCATGGTGGCATGCTCCTGTAATCCAGCTACTGGGGAGGCTGAGGCAGCAGAATCACTTGAACCCGGGAGGCAGAGGTTGCAGTGAGCCGAGATCTAGCCATTGCACTCCAGCCTGCGTGACAGAGCCAGACTTCATCTCAAAAAAAAAACAACAAAAACAACAACAAAAAATGCCAGATGTGGTGGCTCATTGGCCCATGCCTGTAAATCTGGCACTTTGGGAGGCCAAGGCAGGCAGATCACTTGAGGTCAGGAGTTGGAAACCTGCCTTGCCAACATGGTGAAACAAAAATTAGTCAGGCATGGTGGCGTGCACCTGCAGTCCCAGCTGCTCAGGAGGCTAAGGCAGAATCGCTTGAGCTCAGGAGGCAAACGTTGCAGTGAGCTGAGACTGCACCATCGCCCTCCAGCCTGGGTGACAGAGTGAGACTCTGTCTTAAAAAAAAAAAAAAAAAAAGATGTGGGGGTGATTCTCATCCACTGAGCTAAAGGCTTCAGCGGAGGGCAGGGAGCTGAGAAGGACTAGCTGCCTCACACAGAAGCCAGGGAAGGGTGCCTGCAGGTAATTACCAGGGAGGGGACACAGACAGAGGTAGTGAAGTCAGCCTTGGCAATGAGGGACCTTCCCTTTGCAGGCCAAAGTGCCTCATGCCTGTAATCCTAGTGCTTTGGGATGCCAAGGTGGGAGGATCGCTTGAGGCCAGGAGCTGGAGACCAGCCTAGGCAACATAGTGAGACCTTGTCTCTAAACAAATTGTTTTTTGAGATGGGGTCTTGCTGTGTTGCCCAGGCTGCAGTGCAGTGGTGCGATCTCAGCTCCCGGCAAACTCTGCCTCCCAGGCTCAAGCGATCCTCCCACCTCAGCCTCCTGAGTAGCTGGGACTACAGATGCCTGCCACCATGCCTGGTTAATTTTTTGTATTTTCAGTAGACAGGGTTACACCATCTTGGCCAGGCTGGTCTAGAACTCCTGAGCTCAAGTGATCCACCAACCTCGGCCTCCATAAGTGCTGGGATTACAGGCGTGAAACACCGTGCCCGGCCTCTAAAATGAATTTCTAAAAAGGGGGAGCTTTGGTATTCAAGAAGGGTTGGAAATGAAAAAAAAAAAAAAAAAAAAAAAGAGAGAGCTTTCCTCAAAGACAAGACTCGGCCTGCATGGAAGGATTGGGGCAGGAAGGCAACTCCAGGTGTACCTGTAGGGTGGCTCCCCTCGTCTAGGAGATATGGAGGGAAAGGCTGGCTGCCACCTGGGAGATGGAGGGGGTAGAGGGGGCAAGGAGATGTGGGGAGAAGACTCTTGGAGGCTGGGGTTGTGGAAGGAGCCAGGGGGTCTGGGCAGCAAGACAGGGCGGCGTCCAGCCACAGGAGAACGGAAGGAATCGGTGTAACGGTCTGGGCACTGTTAGATCATTCTGGTTTGAGATCACAGTTTGATCCAAGGAAATGACTGGTAGACTGAGAGGAGTGGGAGGCAATGGAGAGCCTGGTGGCCTCCAAACGGAGGAAGCGTGAAGAAGAGGAATGCCTAAGGGCCATTGATAAGGGTGGGCTGGCTCAGGTCTGAGACGAGGTGAACAGCTCAGGGCAGTGAGGGCTGAGGGTGGCTTCCAGGGAGTGGCCAGGGCCACATTCCCCTGCCTTGACGGCCAGGTCTCCCAAGCCCCATAGGTTGTCCCCAGAGGCCCTGAAGATGTCCCCAGAGTAGGGGGGGGGGTTGTGGAGGAAAGGATGTCTGCCTGTCTGGAGCTGGGTCTTGAGACAGGTCTGCAGGTCTGGAAGGAGCAGTCCAGCAGGGGGTTCAAATCCATCCTCTATGCTCCCAGAGCCAACTGTGTGTGCCAGGCCTGGTGGCCCAGGGGTAGGGACAGAGTCTCGGCCCCTCACTGGATCTCAGGCAGGGGGTGGGGTGGGGCAGGATAGAGCCCCGCACTTCTGTCAGGTGGCACAGACCCTAGGAGATGCTCCGGGACTGAACCCTGTGGGTTTTTTTTTTTTTTTTTTTTTTCTTTTTCTTTTTGGCTTTAACAAGCAGAGAAAACAGGTCTTGCAGAATAATGCGATACCCTCTCTAAAGATGAGCGATTCTCCCTGGCTGGCCTGTCGGATACATTTCTAGACGGCGGTTTGGAGTTTTGACTTCCTCTAAGCATCTGGGGCACCAGCAATGGCGAGTATCTCTCTCCAGTAGGCGGGTCTCCCAGGGGCGCCCACCTGCATCCCTGTCCCTCCTCCAGGGACGCCCGGGTGTCCGGACCCGGCTGCTGCCCCGACCCTGATCCTCCTCTGGGCGCCGCACCCTGCCAGGGATCTCGCGGGGTGGGGGTCACCAATCCCGGATGGGTGGTGACCGCGCCCTCACAGCCCCACGTCCCCTTTCCTGCAGAGCAATTCCGCCACCCCTCAGCCACAGGGGACCCCGCTCCCCGCACCAGGCCCTCCCCCCCCAGCCACCGCACTCACCGGAGCTGCCCTAGCCCTGCCCGGCTCTGCTCCCGCTAGGGCTGCGTGGCCGCGTGGCCTGTGGCCGTGGCCCTGTGGCCGGGCCGGGGCGCCGAGCACGGCCCCCTCCCTCCTTCCGCCGGTCGCGCGGGGTCCCCCGGCCCCGCCTCCGCCCCACCCCCGCAGCCGCCGCAGCCGCTGTCAAGGCAACCAGGCGCCGCCGCCACGTGACCCCGTCCGCGGGGGAGCCGCGGCCACGTCACTTGCCGGGCCGGGAGGGGCGGGGCTGGCGGCGCCTCCACGCCGGGATCGTGCTTGGGGAGCAGCAGGGGAGGTGGGAAGACCCCGACCCTCCTGCCCCAGCTCCTGTCTCCGGCCCCAGCTCCGGGAGTCAAAGTGAGGCCCCATGGAGGGTCCGGCTACCCACAGACCAAGAGCTGGGCTCTCCCTGCCCCTGGGTCCGGGCGCAGAAGGGGAGTCTCAGGGGAGTGCCCAGCATTGGGCGCTGGCTGCATGGAGCGATGGGGAGTAGGGAGTGGAGTAGCGATGGGGAGCGGGGACGGGTGAGGCGCGCGCCAGGTGGGCAGTGGAGGAGAAAGTTAGGTGGGGAGGAGAATCTGTCTGGCCATGCCTGAGTTTTACAGAATACTTTTTCATTTTCCTTTTTTTTTTTTTTGAGGCAAGAGTCTGGCTCTGTCGCCCAGGCTGGACTGCAGTGGTGTGATCATGGCTCACTGCAGCCTCAAATTCCTGGGCTCAAGTGATCCTCCTGCCTCAGCCTCCCAAAGTGCAGAGGCTACAGGCAGGAGCCCCCACCACACCCTGGTAATTTTTCAAAAAAATTTTTTTTGTTGGGCCAGGCGCGGTGGCTCATGCCTATAATCCCAGCACTTGGGGGGGCCGAAGCAGGTGGATCACGAGGTCAAGAGATCGAGACCATCCTGGTCAACATGGTGAAACCCCATCTCTACTGAAAATGCAAAAATTAACTGGGCGTGGTGGTGTGCACCTGTAGTCCCAGCTACTCGGGAGCCTGAGGCAGGAGAATTGCTTGAATCCAGGAGGCAGAGGTTGTGGTGAGCCGAGATGGTGACATTGCACTCCAGCCTGGGTAACAAAAGCAAAACTCCGTCTCAAAAAAAAAAAAAATTTGTTGTTGTTGTTGTTGTTTGAGAGAGAGTTCCGCTCTGTCGCCCAGGCTGGAATGCAGTGGTGTGATCTCAGCTCACTGCAGTCTCCACCCCCGGGGTTGAAACGATTCTCCTGTCTCGGCCTCCCGAGCTGGGACTACAGGTGCACACTACCAGCCTGCCTACTTTTTTGTATTTTTACAAGAGGCTACGTTTCACCGTGTTAGCCAGGCTGTTCTTGAACCCCTGACTTCAAGTGATCCACCCACCTGGGCCTCCCTAAGTGCTGGGATTACAGGTGTGAGCCACCGTGCCAGGCCAAAAAAAAAATGTGTGTGTGTGTGTGTGTGTGTGTGTGTGTGTGTGTGTGTGTGTGTGTCTTTTTTAAAGATAGGGCCTCCCTGTGTTGCCCAGACTGGTCTTAAACTCCTGACCTCAAGCAATTCTCTCAAAGCGCTGGAATTACAGGCACTTGCCACCACGTCCAGCTAATTTTAATTTATTCTTTTTTAAATAGGAAATGGGGTCTTGCTATGTTGCCCCTACGGGTCTCGAACTCCTAGGCTCAAGTGATCTTTCCACCTCAGCCCCCCGAAGTGCTGAGCATAGAGGTACGAGCCACCTTGCCTGGCCCCTGCCCAGGGTATTGGATGGCACCATAAAGAGCTTGCACAGAGCTAATTGGGGGTTGCCATCCAGAGTGCACTGCCACTCACAGGCCCAGGGAGACCCCTGGGATCCCAACCCCAGGGCAGCATGCTCTCCTCATGCTGTTTGCAGACAGCAGCAAAGAGTTTCTGCTGTGCCCTGGCCCCCTCCACTCCCTACTACAGGGAGCCTCTCACCCTTACTGGTGAACTCTGGGTTTTACGAGCGAGGTAGTCAAACAAGAAGTGTTCTTTTCAGGAAGTACAGCACATGAATAATTCACAGACAGACAAGATGGGTTCCTATCAGCCCGGCGGTGCCAGACGGTCCCTTGGAGTCCTTCCTCTGTGCCGGGTAGGCTGCTGCGTGCCCTACATAGGATTTTTCCATCTGTCACAACAGCATTGGACCGTGACACATTTATCCAAACGAAGGAAAAATTCCACTCCTGTCAGCCAGCCCACATTTTATGACAATTGGAAGAGTAGATGTTACGGATGCCAGGTTGAATCCATCTACACTTCAAGTTGTATTTTAGAGGCTATTGCTGAGAGCCAGAATGAAACCAGGAGGACACTTAGTATAATAAACTAGACGTCCCCCTCCAGGTTACTGACCTAAAAGGCAGTTTAGCCCCTAACATGGGCGTAAGAAAATCCCGGGGTTCCTTACTGGCCCTCCTCCTGCCAGCCCCATAGATGGCTATGAATAAGGGATCGTTTAATTTCAGGGGGCAAAGTCCTCAAAAAGTAATCATGCTATGGCTTTCCAACGTGGAGCTCTTGGTAAAATGAATCTTGGTGGCTCACACCTGTAATCCTAGCACTTTGGGAGGCTGAGGCGGGTGGATCTGAGGTCAGGAGTTCAAGTTGAAACCCCATCTTTACTAAAAATACAAAAAGCAGCTGGACGTGTTGGCACACACCTGTAGTCCCAGCTACTGGGGAGGCTGGAGGCAGTAGAATCACTTGAACCTGGGAGGTGGAGGTTGCAGTGAGTTGAGATCATGACACTGCACTCCAGCCTCGGCAACTGAGCGAGACTCTCAAAAAAAAAAAAAAAAAAAAAAAAAAAAACTTTGTAAATGGTAGTAATTTGGATCATAGATGAATGTGCTTTCAGCAAAGGAGTCCTTTGCTTGTTGAATTCTCACTCTTGCAGCAACTTCACTCATCCTTGGGAAAGCTTCCTGTGTCCGTTACTGATGCCACCACCCCCAGGCTCATTTATCAAGCACGCCCAGACAGAAGCAAAATGCAAGTCATAATTGCCAGTGCTCTTCAGAGCTGGTTTCCTACCAAACACAGAATAGCTTGCCTGCTTTTCTTTCCCTCCCTCCCTCTCTCCCCACTCCCTTCCTTTCCTTCCTGGCTTTCCTTTTTTCTTTTCTCTCTCCCTCATATTTATAAAACAGAGTCTCACTCTGCTGCCCAAGCTGGAGTGCAGTGGCGTGATCTCAGCTCATCGCAACCTCTGCCTCCTAGCAATTCTCCTGCCTCAGCCTCCTGAGTAGCTGGGATTACAGGCAT